ACATTTAGTGGGTCAGTTGCTTTATGAAACTTCTCACTATTATTAGTGCAGTCTTTTCGATCAGATATTATTCGTGTATGAAGAGGTGTATGGTTGTTGTGGTTGGTTCAGTGTTATCACACATGTCTCTAATGTAATTTGAAAGCTAATCACATACATATAAGCTCGATGCCCATTTTGTCATCATAGACACTTTGAGTGTGATTCTAATACATCCACCTGTTTCATCCCTGTACCTCATAAAGTTAGTCTCAACGTACATATTGGACCAGATTCTATGCCAAATACCTTGGTTATGACACATGATGTGGTTGCCTTTTAGGAACTGTGATAGAATTTCTGCTGGAAATTTTTGCATACATCTAAGATGATATAGCTTATCTTGCACAATTTACATGTCCTGCCACAAATAAATAGGTTATAATTTCCGTATATTCTGTATGAAAGAAGATCATCATTATGAAAACCAGTTTTATTAGGCTTTCGATTCATACTTTTGCAATTCGACTCCTCAGTGATCAATTTTCTAAGGCTTCCATCAACTGTTCGAAGTTATTCACTTCAGGAGTTCTTCAGTCACCATGCATAAGGCACTCACATTCTAAGGGAATTTCGTTCCATAGAACATTTTTGTAACACCCAAAAAACAGGATTGCATAATTTCCTCTAAACCTGTATTAACCATGAGTGTCTCTATTGTGTCAGTAAAACTCATTAGTGTGTGTATGCTGCCCAATCTTAGAAGTTTCTGAAATGGTCTGGATGAATCTACAGTCTGTTGACAACCACACGATTGTTTTACAAATAAAGTTATATTGTTCAACTTCTCTAATGTTTTATGAGTGAGACACTGCTTTTATCATTGCTGTCAGTACTGTATCTGGAGCTGGATCTACTGGTGTTATATCTCTCAGTAGTGTGTAAACCACCTTTTTTTTAGGACTAAAGATGTTTCCTTGTTCTTTTGATACTGTGGTATTGTAACCATTGTACTCTACAGTCATCTCATTTGAAATCACGAATTGAAGAAACTTAAAGTTTGGTGCTCGAGCTAGAGATATTTCCTGACAGTGTAACATGTTATGTTTAGTACAGAAGCTTGAGATTCCTGGTAAAGCATAGGTGTTTTTTTCTTTTACTGTAGTATTAACGTATAACTATTTTTGACGTAACCTTGTTCTGCATTTCAGTTTGCTTTGTATGCCTAATTGCTGGTGCATTCTCATCTAAATCTTTCTCATGTTGAACTTGTGTAAGAAGCAGTGCTAAAGAATGTGTGGACTGTACTCCATTTTGCAAGGAGATATTTGCATCAAAGTTGTCAGCTACTATATGGATGATTTCACCATTAACCTTAATTCCCATCAAATCAACTTCCATGTTAGCTGCCTGAACTGCATAGGAACCACATACTCGAAGTTCATGGAACTGTTCTATGGAAATCTTTTCTCTAAAGACATCTCTCAATGTTACCTATAGAAACGTGGGCCATTTAATAATGCAACTTGTGGCCATGATCCCTATCAAGGCACTTGATACTCAATTTTTCTAATAGTAAAGACAGCAATATCATAAGGATAGAACTTGTTTCCTCCGTGGCTTGTTTTGTATTACCACTTATTTAGTTCAATCTTTTTGGATTCCATAGAAATGCAGTTGGCGATTTGCTGTAGAGCACAGTCATGTTTATCATAATTGGATACATGATTGATTACTTAGTTCATATCGTTTCAAAACATTATGATGCTTGCTACGCATTTTCTAGTCAGAACTGAAATTTCTGCTCCAAACTGCTCCGCGATTCTGTTTAACAACATTCTTCAGAAAGATATTCTCTCCCGTTTGATATATAGAATTCATGAAGATAAACAGGGTTCCAAATTTTAGAATGGTCATCCAACATAGCTTACACAGCAGTATTGAATACAAAATCTGTTTAGTCATCACCTTTGTTTTTGTCTGAAATCCTGGATTCAAAAGTTTGGCCTACAATATGCATGGTATTCTGTGTTAGCAGCGTGAGGGTCACGCACTGCACCGTTGTCACGAAAATGCTTAAGCATGCTTCAATAATGGAATCTTTGAATGTCTTTGCAGAACCTCTATCAGCAATGAGACGTCGTGTATACGTCTCCAGCAATCAGGATATTTATAATTCTTGTCCAGACAGACTTAACCACACACACACAACAAAAAAAAACATCTATAGATTTCAGTGTGCGTACTTCGTTTTGGAAGTGGTGGTTCATGTGATGATTCTCCTTAGGCCAGCTCATTCATCTTCATATACTGTTGTACGTAATGATGTGAAGTATACGTGGATACACGATCCTTGTGATAAGTTATGGTCAAGGTTGGATCTCACTTTCACTTTTCTCAGTAATGTCCCGAGTTCGTATGTAGATTGTAGTTGGACGATTTACAGTTTAAAACCTTGAAGTAACATTGAGCCATGGTGTATGCTTTCTGAAAATAAAGTAAGCAAGAAAATTAATCAATGGTTATTATTTTATATTGACCAGGAAATACCACTTCTGTCTGGAGGCTTGGTACGAAACAAATATGCACATTTCACAATATATTCTAGTGATGTAACTGCAAAAGATATTTGACAGTTAATTTTCTTGGAATATATAGCACCCACATATTGTCTTATCGGGCAGATGAGGTGTAACACTGACTTGCCCAAACCTGTGCTACAATTGCCCTACAAACATTCAATATTTTATATACTGCACAAATATCATGATTTTAAAAGCTTTACAACTCATATCATTCTACAATCATCAATTACCATACGTTAGAAGTTTTCTTTGTCCTGTTGGGGAACCAGGACATATACAATGCCTTGAAATTTGTTGTTGTCTGAGCTTGCAGTCATGAAACTTCCAAATGCGACTTTATATTTAGAATCTACACAATCTACTTCAAACTGAGAAAGCTAAAAAACGCTGATATTCAAAGAAAATTAGAATATTCTCAATTTCATAAATATTCAACCCCTTTGCTATAGCATCTATAAATCAATTCAGGTTCAAAAGATTAGTTTAAAAGTGTAAAAAATTAGCAAAATGGTCTCTGTCTGCGGGTAATCAAAGTAGTTTAACTTGACTTCAGGAGTAAATGCATCTGTTCAAGCCACAATTTACATAGTAATACAACAAACCAAGAATGAAGACCAACTAGCTTTCTGAACAAGTCAGGGATAAAATGGCAGAGAAACACAGATCAGAAGAAGGTTATAAGAAAATTTCAGAGTCACTAATTATCTCTGTGAGTACGCTGAAGTCCACCATTAAGAAGTGGAATGCCACCCTTCCAAACTAAGCAGTTGGACAAGCAGGAAACTGGTTAGGGATGCCAATGTGAAGCCAACAATGACTTTGAAAGATTTGCAAAGTTCCATGTCTGAGATGAGAGTCAATGTTCATACACTGACAATATCCCAATCCCTACACAAAGCTGAACTGTATGAGTGAGTGGCAAGAAAGAAGCCACTACTGAAAAAGGATCATCTTAAATCTCGTATGGAGTTTTCAACAGAAGCATGTAATTGATGCTGCAGACACGTGGCAGAAGGTTTTGTGGTCAGATGAGACAGAAATTCAAAGTGTTATATTTAATGCAAGCCTAACACAGCACATCACCCAGTCAACACCATCCCAGCAGGGACTGGGAAGCTTGTCAGATTCAGATGGAGATGGATGGTGCAAAGTACAGGCGAATCCTAGAGAAAAACCTGCTTGAGTCAGCCAAGAATCTAAAACTGGGTCGAAAACTCACATTTCAGCAGAACAATGATCCGAAGCACAAAGCCAAAGCCACACTGGAGTGGTTTCAAAAGAAGAGAGTGAATGTCCTGGAGTGACTCAGTCAAAGTCCTGACATGAATCCAATAGAAAATTTAGGGCGAGACTTTAAGATTGCAGTCCAATAACGATCATCAATGAACTTGTCAGAATTGGGGCAATTTTGCCAGGAAGAATAAGCAAAGATTACACCAGCCCATTGTGCAAAGCTGGTAGATACCTAACCAAAAAGATTCACAGCAGTAATTGCTGCCAAAGATGCTTCCACCACGTACTGACTTAGGGGGCTGAATATTTATATGATCAGCAAATTATAATATATACATTTTCTTGGCAGGTTTTGCTGACACTCAACCTCCTTCGTGTATAAGTGTTACGTTTGATCATTAGAGTTTTGAATAAAAGCAAGTTCATTATAATATATTGCTTACATTATTTGCATTTCATCAAAATGTGACATTATTGGTAGGAGGTGAATACTTTTGCAAAGCACTGTAGTTCACTTGCCCAAACTGTGATTTGACTTGTTCCAAGCAATTGGGCAAACTTTAATGTCAAGCCCTGGTAATTTTATTATTTTGTGCATTTTGGTTGCTAAAATGCACTGTTATAACTTCATGAAAATTTTGCTGAAAAATAATTTTTCTTTTCAACAGAAGTTGCACAAAGTCCAAAAATAACAAAATGCCCAAGAGTACCAGAGTGGCACTTGGTGGAAACTTAATGTAGATACCCTTCCAGACTAAAAACCATTGAGAACATATTTAAGGCGTTTATGATTAGACTAATTACTTAGTTCAATTATACAGTCTACTGTTAATGAGGCTCCACTGGATCAGTGATAAACGTGAGGGCTTATAAGGCTAAAAATCTGGTTTCAATACCCGCAATGAACAGACCACAGATAGCTCATTGTGTAGCTTTTCTTGACAACAAACTGTTAATGGAATAATCTTAATAGAAAAAAAAATAAAAACTACCTTCAAACACAGAGTCTTGATATACATATTACAGAATGACATTGGTTTAAATGTTGGCTAGAGTGAGGTACAAATGATTTTGTCAAAACATGCTTAATGACGTTTAGTTTTGTATGTCGTTCTTTATGATACTAACATTGTTACTTATTCTATTATAGTGACGACATATAAATAACAAATTATTTGATATAATATTAATATTTCATCTAAGCCCCAGAGGAGATTCCACAAGATATCAGTGTCAAATCCATTAATTCGAGGTCTTTAAGTATCAAATGGAAGGTGAGTTCATATTTATATATTCGTTTGTGTAGAAGTTGTGTATAGCAAATCGGTTAAATCAAAAAGGAAGGAAAACTTTTTCTTTTTGGTAAATTAAGTTTTAGAGTGTTCACAATTACCTTAATCCATCTTTATTATATGAGAATAAATGTCAAAAATCATATTTTGCACCAATAAAACATTATGTATTCAAATTATATTTTTGTACTCATCATGTTCACGTTGATTCTCTCGCCCAGTAAATATGAGACTTGTATAAACAATCCAAATAACCAATGAGAAGACATATCATACATGTATCCACAGCTATAGGCTTGAATTTCAAATGTCGTTATTGCACGAAGGTATAAGTGGACTATTCAGCCAAAACTAAAGGAAAATATATGTTGAGTTTTCATTAATCAGTTTTAAGCCGATTAAGTTTCAGCTAAGATAAAATTTAGATATAGTATTTATAATCCATTTTCAAGGTAAAACAAAAATAGTTTTATGGGATTAGTAGCAATGCTTTGCTATTTAATTACTAAAATATTGTAAATCAAAAACAATCCCAAACATTAAATTGGGTATTTTCAAAAACAAGTTTATTTTGAAAATAGCTACAGAGGTATAGATGTAGGAGGCAAACTTGTTGCTGTATATTTGTGATTGCAAATACTGAATTTTTACTGTGCAGATGAGAAAACTAAATAAAAAAAAATGTTCCATTTAATTCCGCCCAGATTGAGCTATATCTTATAAATACATCACGATAATATATTTAAAGTTAATTTCGTGATTATCGCATACTCCAATTAAATTGGGTATTTTCAAAAACAAGTTTATTTTGAAAATAGCTACAGAGGTAGAGGTGTAGGAGGCAAATCAAAAGTGGGGCAAGGTTCATTTGACTGAACAAACAAGGAAATGTGCACCATAGATGCACCCATAATGTCTGGAGTCCAGGGTTTGCCTTAGAGCTCCAGAAGCTCATGGATTCCAAATAAAGTTTATACATTCTCCTGCTTTTCCTGAGAGTAATTTTTCCTAATTTTGATATAATAGGTTTCATCAATAGCACTGTACAATGCAAAAAGGCTACACTTACAACACTGTTTTGCTTCTAAACAAGGTATTTCAAGCTCTTGAAATGTTCAATAGCTGATTTACGAAGTTTTGTTTGTTAAATGTAGAAAGGGCCATGCTTGGCCCTTTCTACATTTAACAAACAAAACTTCGTAAAAAGGGCCAAGCATGGCCAAGTGATTAGGGAGCTCTAATCCCCGTCCCACAAAACATGCTCGCCCTTTCAGCCGTGGGGTGTTATAATGTGATGGTCAATTCCACTATTCCCATTATCTGAACAGTGCTTGTAAAGACACTGAAAATCGAAAACCAAGTCTTAAAACAATATTATCACTAACAATACGTAAAAAAACTAAAATCCTTCCTGAAAAAAATAAGCAGAAGCATTTTTAATCAATAAGTCAAACCCTAAGTGAAAGGAACTTAAGGCTGGCAACTGTAAGAACTAACATTATAAAATTGTCTCTACTCTTGACTATTTTAATATCATTGTAAAAGCACACAATATATTTTTGCATTTTAATTATTATTTACGTCTGCTGTTATTGTAAAGCATGTTACAGGGTTGTGTGTATGTCATGTAACTTCTACAAAACAGCTGGTTGCACCAACTTTTAAGTGGTACCAAACTAATCATTTCGGCACCGGGGTTTGCACAAAGATAATTTTCACCCAGTCTGTTACAGAAACAAGATATTTCACGAAAACACTTTATAGGGATTCCCCAAAAGCAGACCCCAAATTTGGCATTGATTTACATTAGAGTATGTAAATAAGTAACCCTACTAATTACTGTTTGTAATTTGGTCAAAGAACTTAAAATTGCATTTTAGTGGTAATGGTCAGTAGTAGATCAAGCATTAAACTTACATTATAGAGGTCCTCTAAATGAGGGCCATAAGCCCATGGGTTATCTAGATTTTGTCTGATAGATGGAATATCCTCAATGCATTTGGACACTATGGCCACAGACATTATCCATTATAGCTTAAGGATGGCAGTGAGGAGTGGTAATAGAAGAATAATTCTGAATTTTCATCTCATAACAATGTTTTCGTTTTGTATTAAGTTCCCTAATGTTGTACAGTACTAATTTTAATCACTTGTTATTATATTCATATATTTCTTATCCCAAAAAATGAATTTCACTGAAGAAAAGAGGCCTAATATATTCTTTCATTCACCACTCCCACTTCAACAGACAAGTTTAATTAAATTCACAGCTTGTCAGTTGTTACCCCATTTGTTGCGTGATATGCTATCAGAGGGAGCAACAATGTCGACCTCAGATGAGGGGTAGAGATGTTGATGTCACCAGAGACAATGATGTCATAGTTCCACGAGGTCGAACCACAAGTTGCATTGTTAGGAAAACGTTGCTAGGCCACCATGATGCCAGAGACAATGACGTTCACGAAATGGATCAACGTGTCTCAACATATAATCAATGGCTATATTTAATACAGTTGGTATAGCACACCAAATCATTACTTCTATATTGAATTATGTGTTTTATAAATCACTTATTGTCCTGAAAAGGATGCTTTTTAACATGCAAATTTATGACAGTCTTTCTGTTTCAGTAGTTTGACTTTATTTTATCCATATAATTTGACAATATATTTCATTTTTCACATAATATATTATATTTTTAACTTACATGAATTTTATAAGGGTGAACAGTGTTACCATACTTCCAAATGTAATTATGTCATCAATATCTAGAGTTAATTATGTTACAAGTAAAACCATTATCTTAACGACGATCTTACTGTCTATAGGCTTTTAACAAAGCTGCTGTTTCGCTTTCACAAGTCAACAAGACAACTTTTGTAACATACATATTATCCATTATTTGAATGAGGCAGTATAAATTACTTATCATCATAAAAAAACACTCATTTAATATCAAAATTACAACAATTTTACTGTTTAACTAGTTTGTCTTTATCCATATGACTGTCTTGACAAAATAACTTCTTACAATATAGGATAAGAAAATACTTAACCGATTCTGATTTATTATAATTTTATTTTCTATATCTAAGCATATTTTTTATAATTATTATTTTCGAAAGGACGCAAACACTCTTATTTTAGTGAGAAAAGTATTATAACATACATATCCATTATTTGAATGCGGCAGTTATAACCAATAATTTACTTTTATTATTCTGAAAATGACGATTACTTACTTCTCCACATAATTTAACATACTGTTTCACTTTATAAATTATTATGTATTTCATTTCGCTACAATTAAAAATAATAAATGAATGACTTACTGCTGATTCATCCATTTTCTATTAAAATTTCATAAAAGATTGAGACTATCTAATGTAAAAATACTGTTTGTTAGGAATTATCACACACACATACATATGGTGTGGGCACGGACGTCAAGACAATGTGTAGGAGGTCGTCACGTGATCACAAGTACTGTGTGAGGCTGTGAGATATTTCAACTTACCAGTGGATGAAAAGTTTTGACCTTTGTTCATTAGTCAAATTGAAAAAAATATATTTCGTGTGCCACAACTAAAATTTATCCATTCATTACCTAAAACTTTGAAACTGTCTAACATTAAGACACTGTTTGTTATGAGGTCGTCACATCTTACTGTTTAACCAATCACTTTACTATTATAGAAAATACTTAAAATAGCAAAGCTTACCTTTTTCTAAAGGATATTCACTTAAAGTATAAAACATATCATACAAATAAAATTCATAAAACTTTACAGTTTTAAAGTACAGCCAATAAACGAACTTTTTCCATGCATTAATAAAAACGTCAATCATTGAAACTACGTGCATATAGATGTTATTTTCATTTCCATCTGTGGGTCATTAACACCATGGAGACATTTCACTCTGACTCATTGTAACCTGTTTGGCCTAAGGCCAATCAATCTATTTAACTTCAAAATACCTAAGTTGACTAAATGACTTAAACATACAATCCAGAAACAGAACTTACAAGCTTCCAATCACGTGCTATATTTGTTCATTGATGTTTGAGACTCCAAATATAATTTTTCAAAACGATGTTATGGTAGCTTGTATTATCATTTTCACCTAAAAATCAGTGAAAAACTTTTTGTACACTATGGTATTTAAACTTAGTTTACCAAAGTATCAAATGGATTTTTTAACAAATTAACAATACCGAAAAAGAGTTGACAATCATAATCGTAAAAGAATCTTTAATTATAAATCAAGTGATTAATCTTCGACTATTTCAAAACAGATATTTCCTCAGATGGATCATGAAATTGTTATTGTGACATAAATTGTCTTTTATCTACACTTTACTTGCATATACCAAAGAGAGTATATTAGTCTAATGTGAGAAATGAGTTTCATATATGAAGATCACAGAACACTGATCTGTAACTGATGATTTTTATATATTTGATTATCTATGTGATCACGTGATTACCTCCTACAGATTGTCTTAATGTCAGTGCCCACATCATATGTATGTGTGTGATAATTCCTAACAAACAGTGTCTTAACATTATATAGTCTCAATATTTTATGAAATTTTAACATAAAATGGATGGATAAGCAGCAAGTCGTTCATTTATTATTTTTAATTGTAGCAAAATGAAATACATAATAGCTTATAATGTGAAACAGTATGTTAAATTACATGGAGAAGTAAATAATTGTCCTTTTCAGGATGATAAAAGTAAATTATTTGTTATACCTGCATGATTCAAATAATGGATAATATGTATGTTATAATAGTTTTTTCATTAAAATAAGAGTGTTTGCATCCTTTGGCGGACAATAATTATAAAAAGTATGCTTAAATATAGAAACTGAAACTATAATAAATATGTTAAATCAAAATTGGTTATGCATTTTCTTGTATTTTATCGTAAGAAACAATATTTTATCAAGAATAGTTATATAGATAAAGACACACTAGTGAAACAGTAAGATTGTTGTAAATTTGCATACTAAATAAGCGTCCTTTTGAGAAAGATAAGCGATTTACACTGCCTCATTCAAATAATGGATAATATGTTATAAGAGTTGTCTTATTGACTTGTGGACGTAAAACAGCAGCTTTGTAAGAAGCTTACAGACAGTAAGAATGCCGTTAAAATAATGGTTTTACTTGTAACATAATTAAATCTAGACATTGATAACATAATCACATGTAGAAGTATAGTAACATCAATCACCCTTGTAATATTCATGTAAGTTAAAACTATAAAGTAACATGTGTAAAATGAAATATCTTGTCAATTTATGTGGATAGCATAAAGTCAAATAGTATGATTGTTTTAAGTTTGTATCTTAAATAACTGTTGTTTTCAGGACAATAAGTGATTTACATATAATTGGTTAGGAAATTTAAGAAATAAGTATGATTGAATATAGAACTAATGGATCAGTGTTTTATACCGACTATATTAAATATAGCCATTGATTACATGTTGAGACACATTGATCCACTTTACAGACATCATTATCTCTGATGTCATAGTGGTCTAGCAACACATTCATAACAATATGCCCTGTTGTTAGACTTCACAGAACTATGATGTCATTATCTCTGGTGACATCAACGCCTCTACCCCTCCCTCGCTCTACGTCGGACACTTGTGGCGCCCTCTGACAGCATGTCATGCAAAAAATGGGGTATCTTCTCTCGTTACTACTATTTGAAAGAGTAAAATCAAATAAATAATGTAGGCCTTGTATAGTGACATAACTAAGTAGTTTATTTGGTTTAAATGTACAGTCCTTGACTCACCATTAACAACCTGAGCACACTAATGATCAGTAAAGTACTATGATGGTTAAAAACCCATCATTTCTTTTATGGCCAAATATAGGTTATCAGTAACAAGAGTGTATCATAACATTTCAACTGAACCTTGTTTGTATGCTGTTGACAACGAGACCTTTCATTTAATGCTAGAACTTACCAGCTGGGCTGGATCTATGGTAGCTAGAAGCACGAATATAGTTCAAACTAAACTGCTACACAAGGATGCAGGGCTGTCAAACCAGTTGAAGGGCATCTGATCGAAATTCTGTATTAAATAAATTAAGCTTTATGTGTCGGTTATCATTAAGTTAACATATGTATTATTTATTTAGTATGATTATTTATAAAAAAATTAAATATATTTTATAACTGTCATTTTAAATATATTTCAGAAATGTTATTCTAACTGCTACTTATTCTCGTTGTAATTTTTAGGCACTATTCCCAGAGAAAAGCCGCAGTATCTCAGGTTATTATGTCGGGTACAGACGTAAAAACCGGGATGAGACTTTTTCATATAAAACAGTTGCCACTTCTGGAAAACAAGCCTACTATTGTGACATCACCAACCTTGATAGATCTGCTGTGTATGACATTATAGTTCAGGCTTTTAATGACAAAGGTGCTGGCCCATCTTCAGATATGATAACAGTGGAGACTATGACGCATGGTTTGTAGCATATTATTTACTTACTTTAATCTGATCATTAGTGATCGTAACGACCTACTGTGATTCTTTTAGTTATCATTCTGTTTGATTTTGAAGCTGTACATATCTGTCTGGATATGTGGTTCACACAATTTTTCAGTATGGCTCGTTTTTTGTGAAGGGAATTCAGAATTTCCCATTTGCCATGTAATTAAAAATCGGGGAAAAAGTACCATTCTAGAAAACAAAAATCTTTCCAATAGCTAGACAACCTCTTGTCTAGATATATTTAAAGGAGACAATATAAACAAATACAGTTCAGTTCTAGTTTGGAGAAAATATATTTTTGTTAGGTTACAAAAGTTTCAACATCTCAGTGTATGTACTTCAGACAAAAAGCTTCCACTGGTAATTAAAATGTTTATTCAATAATGTAAAAAATTAACGAAAAATAACGCAATAACAGTATAGAATGACAATTAAGACCATTTTTTTGCTTAAACACAAACTGAACGAAACATTGTAAACACGTAATGCTATCAGTTCTTCTGCAAGCATCATACTGCCTTATAATACCTATAGTTTTTAGAGAGATATGTAAAACTAGAACTGAAGAAGAGACAGCTAGAATACTAAGTATGGTCAGTCCTACTCTACAGCGTGGAAACGTGGATCTTGTCTGGTGAATCTAAACAACATTTGGAAATATTTGAAATGTTGTGTTATAGATGAGTGATGGAGTTAGCTACAAAAGGAGAAAACTGATTATGAAGTATTTTAAAGTGCAAAGACAAAAATAAAATTGCTGGACCTATTTAGAAAATGGAAGCTGTGCTACATTGAGCATAACATTAATTTGGGGGAATGATGGCATTGATTAAAAGGGAGAGGAGTGAGAGGCAGGCCAAGGCTCCCTTGACTCTATGACATTAAAAATGGATTGGAGACGAAAGGCTTGAATAAAGAGAGTTGGTGCAGACAGCGAAGAATACTGAACAATTGATAATCACAGTCGTCGATACTTAGTTTGGGGAGGACACCAAGATTGATCTAAAATAGTGTATTTTCCATATTAATATCCATATTGTAGTTTTACACTCTGTTTAAACCAAACACTTTTAATGATAATGATTATGTAATTCATGTACTTAGTCACAGTGCAATGTTTTTTAGAACACTAGAGTTCACGGTGTCATACTATAAGCAATAATTATCTCTCACTATCATCATCAGTTTACAATGCAAAAATTTACTTTATGAGGAGATTATATGTTTTTTATAGCTGCAAATCTCTGGAGGTAACCAACAGTGCAGTCATTGTTCTAACTAAAACCTCATCACCTATATAATCTGTTTTTAGAGACAGAAATGTATCACACAAACTTCTAACTAGTATACATTATCACTGTGTGGTATATGAGAATTGGGCATAACATGGTCAAGAACTTTTCATTTCTGAATACTGAATGTCATTTAAAGATTCAGTAACTTATCTCATCTGTATCAAAATTCTTGAGTCGTTTTTTTTGCTACTTTTGATCTGGAATAGAAATTCTGGCATTTAGAATGTGTAGCCGAGGTGTGGAAAAGGTCTCAACAGTTTCTTAAACAACAATGGCTATTGATCCTCCCTCCTCATGAAACTAAGATTGCGATCTAGCAACGTCGTTCCTCAGATGGCTCCTCATTTTCCGTGTCATTGTTTCTCCATCAGCATAATATGTCCTCAGAGACTCAAGGGTGTACCCATCTGTTCTAACTACCATCATAGGTTTTAGTAGTGGTCAATGCCTGTACATATTGAATAAGCACATTGGAAAGTACAATTTTGCTCTATTTCTTAACAAATGTTTGCCTCATAAACCACTATCTCAAATATCTTCATTTCCATCTACCAGTACATGCTTCATAAGGTGTAAACTGCTTTCTGGATATAAGCCCCAGGCTAAGGTGGTGTGACACAAATCTTGACTTAAATGCTGATGTACATTCTGAATTTCGCTGTTAACGAACTTCTTCTATAAGACAGTACAGATGACTACTGCACGATGTACCACAGTAATCTAGGTAAATAGCCTTTCTACTACAGACAGGAGACGCCTTTGAAAAAAGTAGAAAATCATAAATAGTATTGTTCACTTACCCTGTAGCTCCTGGTTGCTACATTTGTAAATTTCTAGTTTTTTGTGTGTTTTGGATTTTAGTGTCCAACTCTAACTCCATTGCTTGTCATATTTGTCACCTTGTATATCTGCTCTTTAAAACACACTTTCACAGTAAAAACCCTTTTTGTGAACATTATGAAAAGGATATATATAGATCCCATTGCGAATGGGATGTGTGTGTGTGTGTGTGTCAAAAAAGAAATACGATTTGCTTGAACTTATGTTGATTTATTTCAAGATCGTATTTTAGTGAAGCCAATCTTTTCACCATAATGGTGTTGGGTGTTTATTTTGATAAAATTCAGTTATTTTGGATTTTTTTTTACACCAAAGGGATTTCATCTTGATTTGCACGTGATCGAGCTACTTGTAGCAATGCGACACTCGCCAATTTGTTCGTGGTTTAGTGCATAAATATTTTCAATAGCAGACAACACGGATAAAACACATATTGAACATGCTCGCCTGCAGCTGACGGAAGCTTCATGATTGGATTCGTCCATATATTATGCAGTAACTGAATAAGATAGTTCCCGTTTCATGTTTAATCTTGAACATTTATACTATTAAGCCTTTTTTTTATATAGATCTACTACCAGTAATTTGCATATTATCTTTAAAAGTACTTGAGTAGTTGTTGAGGAAGGAAGGAATCTCAATTATTGTTTCATTTATTTCGGTGTAAATTTGCTGTTTGGTTTGGATAAAGTAATGTAAAATGTTGTACATTATTCACCTATTTGCTGTATGACAGTTTAAGGTACGGTGTACTTCAGTTTGTATAACATGAGTAATATTGGTATGTCGTATAAAAATGTATCTGTAAATCGCCTGTTACTGAATCACACTATGCGTGTAATGACTTGATATAAAATAATATTAGTATTGAATTAAAGCAATGTTAACATTGTAATAGTTTTGTCTAATACACTGATTATTTGATAAAGGCGATAATGTTCATTTTCATCCATATTAAGTAATTGCTCGGAGCAATTCTATGGAAGCCTATGAGGGACATTGATGCCTAAGCACTGTTGCAATTATATGTGTAGGGTTCACATTTTGTAGCCACTTTCAACTAGTGGTGGCGAAACAATGCTAGCCCTAGAGACAAGTTACGTTGTAGTCATTGGTTGGAGGCGCAGCCATAAGGCCGTGAAAACCGAATTATTTGCTACATGGACGACGATTGACAACCATAACCGTTTGAGGTTATCTCTTAGGCAAAACATCCTACCGGAGATACACCGGCAGACAATAACATTCTACCAGAAACAGTGATACCTGGAGAATGACCCTTATTTATTATTATAAGTACAAAGATGCGGAGAAATGTTAAGTCTTAAACTGAATTAATTTGAATTTAACTTTAAATGCTCTAATTTACAAAGATAAATGAATTACCACGTATAAAAAGACCAGTAAAGACTGTGGTAATATTTAGTGAAATTTATCAGCGCTTGGGAATCTTTTAAGAAATTCCAATTTCATTTAAAAAATTTCTGTGTAACAATCCATACCACTAATAAGTATTCTTTATCTTTGTAAAATTTTGAGAAATAAATTTTAAGTTATTAGAGTTTAACCGCTATTCGGCTTGTGTCAAAGTGCAACAAACTTCATTTCTGATGTCACCACTCGCTGCCTTGAAGTACAGGTTAATAAATAACATCCTAGATATCTTCTCTGAAGAATGTTCTTTGTTGCATGTAGCTCCGTTTGCATAACATTATGGGACGAATCCTATAATTATCGCAAGTCATTATTTAAAATTGATCAAATTCGAAAAAGAAATAAGGTAATTCCTTCCCAGAGCACATAAGAAAATTCGTAAGTATTGTCGCAACAGGCCACATCAAGTGTGTGCTGACATAATCCATATGCGTTGGATCGGTAAGGAGCTAGAATGTTCATGTTAAGGAAGAAACCTATGCTCTCTTTGGAAACACTGCAAATAGAAGTAAAATATTCAACGTATGAAACTGTTGTAGATGTCTACGTTAAAAAACGATAATTATTAAATAAAATGAGCTAAAGCTCTCTAATTGACGAAAAACTCAACTCATTCCCATGGATGAATAAGTTGATAACTATTTTGATGGGAAATCATGATAAGAAAGTAACTGTATAACAGTTGACTGTCCACTTTGCCACCATGGTAAATTTACAGATAAAACTGTTAAAAAAAAGATTAGTATATGCTTTGTATAGTTGGAATTGTTAAAATAGTGATGTATATCTGTTAAAACCGTTAAAACAGCAATCCATATCTGCTTTATATTGAGTAAAACTCAAATATAGTGAAGTACACAGTTGCCGCAAAGAAGTTTAAACTTTGAATATGCTGTTCCTTATATGTTATGCATAACATGAAAATGGTTATTCAATGCTTGAAATCCAATAACAAAACATGCTACTCTGTTTTTTCTAAGTGTCTGTTACAGTACATTCAGTAATATGCTGTAAATGTATAATCTACATACAAAGGCCGTCAGTATAATTATTTATATTTTCTTTGCAGGTTGGAGCAGGTCGTATAACTACATTTTGTTATTTGTAAGCTCAAGTAGTTGATATATTTACTCAGGCTGCCATCTATGAGACGGAACTGTTGATATAGCGGTGTATTTGTTATGGCACTGTCATCTTTTTTTAATGCCGTTCCTTTTATACATGAAATAATAAACTGAATTTCATTACATACCAAGGTTTTGATACTACAGACTTAAATTTGTTCAATATTATATAAATTATAGAACTAAATTTCGTATTGTAATATATATTCAAGCTTAGAAGTAAGAGGATATATGAAAATTCTGTTGTATTAGGATTATGTATTATAGTATCTGTAATAGGAAATAATTACAAAATATATTTCCAGTAGTCAGCGGTTGATGTACTTGAACAGTTAATTGATATTTTATAAATCATGACTTTATGGTGCTTCTGAAAGTACATATTAAACTACATTTTTTGTTTCAGTACTACATTTTTGAAGCGTTCACTAGTCATATAATGCTCAGAATATTCAGACGTAATACATGTTGTAATAGAACTTATTTTCATTTGGCCTGTTCACTATTTGACTCTCCATAGTATAGAGCAGATGTTAGTCTTAGAAACGTTTCAAAATGTTACTATTTTGTTTCTAGATCCCCCTGACTCTCCAAAACTTCGGGTTGTTACATCAACTTCATCATCGATTTATCTTGCTTGGGAACAACAAAAGGATGGACCTCCAATTCAGTGTAAGAATAAATAACAATAATAATTATCTTAATAAAATACCTATTTCTAGCTGTGAATATTTTCAAGTAACCGGTATCACAAATGTTTTCTAGCGTTAACCATCGTCGTCTTTACTTAATAGTTTTCCAACTTTTAATTCTTTACTGTTTTCTTTATGTTTTTTGCTGTTGCTGTTTATTTTTGCGAATTACCCTCACATACAAATTAAGATATAAAGATAATCTTGGCACTCAGACTTACATTATTGAGGGGGAGGAATTGTTTTGTTTATATTTTATAAGTCACTAAAAAAATCATACATTGTACTGTGAGGAATGTAATTTCTGGGTGTTTTTCTAGCTATTATATAATTTTTCATTTTTTTGCGGTTTCCATTTTTTGTAGCATACATTCTCTACCGGAGTACGGAAGACGACTGGGAAAAGGTTCAGTTGCCTAGCAACAGGAAAACTTACACTTTCCATGGGTTGCAGTGTGGTCAAAGATACCAGTTCTATATTGTGGCTCACAATAGTGCCGGAAAAGGTGAACCAAGTGATGTTTTATCAGCTAAAACGTATGGTGCAGGTTAGTACACACATAGTTATGTTTGAACTTCTTCGTTCACAGTTTAAATACAATATTTTATGTATCCCAAGTTGAGCACAAATTGTGAAAAGAGAGATGATACTGTATAAACCTACTTGGCTCTCTTCTCAAATTACTTAAGGAATTAAATATTTTTCGAGTAAAAAAATGTTTCGGTTGTCAACAACAGACGAAGGATAAATAGCTCAAAGTAAAAATATAAACAACAATAAATAAATAAACAATTAAACATCATGTAGCATAAACTGCCACTTTTGGTTCGACTATGTCCAAATATAACTGGTTATATCTAAAATCAATGGGCGAAATGAGTACGAAGACATTGACGTTCGAAATTATTCGAAAATTTTAATGTATGTAAAGTTGTTCTTTATTTGTTGACTATTTCACTTTTATACTATTCTCAGAAACAAATCAGGTCATACTCTAGTCAAACTTAAATTACTATCACTAAGTAGCGGTTTCGTTGACATAACGTAAAATCATAATTTTAAAACTCACACCTTTTATAATGTTTTAAAAAGCATTCTTTAATAAAGTATATTATATGGTGACATAAAACATTTTTAATGAACTGATAATTCGCTTTAATCTGTATGTTATTTTTATCTATAATATCTAATTTTTAATTTCATATGATGTCGAAACCGAAAACAAGCTCTCAAAAATCATTTACTCACAAAATTCGCTGTTTTTCTCGCTCAAATTGGAATCCGAGTAGGAGAAAGGTAAAAAGAACAAAAAAAAACATTTTCCTTTTCGTCAGTTTTTGGCTTAAACCAATAGATGGCAAAAAATGTCGACTTTCAGTAAAATACATGTACAAGGAATTCTTGTTCGTTGAATTCGTTATTTATTTTTTCAAGAAACGCCATTTCTGACAAATACATTATGCATTGGTACCATCGAACTCTTCAGTTAAAAGGAAACTGAAGCAGTTTTAGGCACACAATCTGCGCGTTACAAAAGAAGTATTGAAAACACCGCTGCCTCAATATAACTGGGTCACTGGACTCGTATACCTGAATATACGGTGGAAAACTCTCCTCACAGTTAGACGGTGATTCCAGCATAACAAGGTATTGTCTCGTTTAGAACTTTGTGTTCTCTCACTGGAAAATACCCAATTGATTGACCGTGGAGAGCCATTACTTTCAGAACTGTGCTCTTGAGACCTACTATCACTGGGGGCATGAAACAAGTAGATAACTATCCTCGTGATATAAATAATGAACATGGTTATTTCTAGTCAAAATAAAAAACAAGTTAGGTTAAAAATGTCAAAGTACATCCGAAATACGCATGTAAAGTTTTATAAGAATTCCGCCAAACCATTCTTAATATTTTGATTAAGAATGAGCGCAACAATAACGACAAGCGAAACTTTCAGAAAATTCTTCTTAACGAATTACTTGAAGCTTTTTAAGTGGCATATTGTAATATTATAAATACCTTTTATTTTGTATTATATGACATTTTATTCGCTAAAGGTTTTAAGTAAAAAAATTTAACATTGTCTTATGACATCTAACATGGGGCTTTTATTGTGCCTTATGTGTCAAATGCTAATTTAAATAAAAACCTTTCTTATTTTGTTACTTCATTCTCACAATATTGTTATTTGCATTAGTTAACGCGCACAGCCTAATATGCACAGTAATAAGTTAGGTATTTACATTTAAAAAAAGGGAAAAGTTACACTCACGTTAACCGGTGCCTTCCACAACACAGATGTGCGTCAAAAGCTAGTAGTTAAGATACTCTTTTCCTTAAACACACATTGATATAATGACCTACTTAATGTAAATGAATTATTAGTAAGTTATCTTGTTATTTTACAGCAGCAAAAGCTCCAGAAATTGACTCCCTGATCTCAGTGAATACCACTTTCGTAGTACTCCATTTAGATGCATGGAGGAATGGCGATTGTCCAGTTCTTTACTTTGTAATTCAATATAAACAACGGGATAGTCGAGAATGGATCTTGTTGTCCAACCACATTCCGTTGAAGCAAAAGTTTGCCATCATTACAGATCTCCTCCCAGCAACCTGGTATACTCTTCTAATGACAGCTACCAACGAAGCTGGAAACACAGAGAGTGAATATGTTTTCGCTACTCTAACAATGACTGGAGGTAATCTTATTAGCATGAAGAGTACTAAGAGAAGTTTTAACTTTTATTATTTATATATATGAGAATTTGACCAAAAACAATATGGCTGTATTTGTTTCAAGTCTAACCGGTTGTTTTTAAATCATGTATATCATTGTTAGTTCTTATTCAAAACAATCATATCATTGGGATTCAACACGAGTAAATTTGATGTTCTAGACAGTAGATATATATTTTTTGCAATAAAAACATACACTTTCTATAGTTGCACTCTATGTTGTCAAGTGACAATAGTTATATTGTAGCAACAATTTTTATGTATGAACTGAAGATGGTGTAATCATTTTTATTAGACTTGCACACCTCTAAAGTGAATAAAACCGAAATGAAAAAAAATACTGGAAATCTGAAAAGTTACAATCTAAAACACCCATTCAGAAAAAAAAACACACTTTATTTGTGATTGAAAATGAAATCAGTCGTCTTTAACTTATTTCACTGAGTAAGCCGGAATTAAGAGATATGTAGATGTAGTTAGACGAAAGTTTGTATGATAAAATGTTTTTATTTCAAAAGTATTTGATTAGTTTCTTCGGAACATTGATCTTTTGACAAGAGAAGATAATATCGGGTTATTATTAAAGTATTCGACATGCTGAATTTGTATAAGCATCTTTCCTGATGTCAGTTTCTCGAAATTAAATATATGATATGCATGAAATATATAAGGTTGTGTTGAGCAAATGTCTGACAGCAGACTGCCAAAAAGCTGTTTTAGTCTGAGCTAGCCCCAGGAAAGCGCACAAAAGGCCAAAGTAAACGCTATAAAGACTGTCTTAAACTTATCTAATTTTAAGTTGATTCCTGAAAGTGGAGATTTCCACCTTCTAAATTTTTTTAACTTCTTCTTAGCTACCAACGTAATCTCTTCAAAGCCGTTCAAACATCGCAGAAATGTAGAAACCATTTAATCGCCATTATACTAGTCGGAAACTCTAGAGTAAACAATGTGTATATTTATAACAGTGTCTCTTGCCTTATTATTATTTATTATAGTTTTACAAGCCACTGCAGAAAAAACGGCTATGAATATTTTACTGAAACCTGGAAAATAGTGATGAATGCAGTATTGAGCATGTCACAGGGTAACTTTAAAATTAATTCAAGCGCCTTCGTTTTTTCGCCATGAAGAATTTTATAACAAGTCCTTCACTTTCAGTCATTGAGAAAATCTGTTGTTTTTACTAATGCGAATTAATTGGAAAATATATTGTACAACTAATAGTGCTTTTGTTGGAACTCCCCCCCCCCCGACGTGACACAGCGGTATGTCTGCATATTTACTACGCTAGAAACCGGGTTTTGATACCCGTGGTGGGCAGAGCACAGATAGCCCATTGTGTAGCTTTGTGCTTAATTCCAAACAAACAAACAATTTGTTGGAAACTGCCACGTTGAGGATTCATCATTTCTTGAGTTCGCTCTTGTACTTTGTCTCTACTTGGTCTTCTGCGACTATTTCCGAGAGAAGACGATTACCATAGTATATTTCTGGGTAATTTATTCTACTGATTTTCCTATTTCGCTAAAATTCTGAGTGTGTATTTTAGTATTATTTTATTATTATTATTATTCATATTTTTGTTATGCTATGCCCAATAGTAGTAGTACTATGTTTCATTTATAGCTCATAGGACTGAAGTACCACATGGCAACTTGTAGAAATCAACATTTTGGCCGTCCAAGGATGTGAACAATTATAGCAAAACCTGATGTTTCAGTAGTAGGTGTACACAAAACTATTAATAATAGGAGTGATCAGTGCAGAAAACCAAAACTCTTAAGTAGTGATTTTATGTACATTGGGATACATTCTTTACGAGACAGACAATAGTCAAGTACAGATCTTGCCAAAGACCTTACTGTAAATACAGTGTGAATGTTACCTCGAAAACGGTAAGATACAAATTAGCATGAAGTGGTCTCAATAAACGCATAACTGCTCGAAATCCGCTACTGAGAAGAGATAACTAAAGCCGAAGGTTCAAATGTGCATCGATCTACATACACAGCGGAATAAGCAAACTTGGAGACAAATAAATAATTGATAGTTTGTTCGAGGGTAGAGAGGAGAACGTTATCATTGTTAATGTATAACATATAAAGTGAATCATTGTGAAAGTTGGAACTCTATCTCAACAAATAATAACAATAATCTACAAAACATTGATGTACCTTGACTGCTGACAAGTAGCGGCAAATTCTGATCTATCGTGCCAGTCCTTCAAAAACATGACTCATCGAGCGAGAATTCACCTCCCATCAAGACTTTGATACAAGCATGCAGAATATGCATTGATACTGTATTTTGACGGTAAAGAGATCGATGCAATACTCACAGCAATGGTTTAACCTGCATAAGATCTCAATATGAATATTTTAAAGACTTTATGGGCTCAATTAAAATTTGAAAGAGTTAAAAGGCGGCATGGAAACCTTGCTCGAGTTGTATGAAGTAATATTCCACAATCGTACATACATAAATTATATGATAGCGTAAAAACAGGATGTAATAATCTATGTAAACAAAGGGCTAAGATTGACATTACTAGTACGTGGTACATCTTATTCGATTTTACTGTGTATTTTCTGTGTTTTGTATCATTAATAAATCCATCTTTTAGTTGCCATTATACGTTGTTTGCGACTCGTGTATGCGTATCTATTATGTTTTCTTATTGAAACCATCTATCACATTACAAATACACTACAATACAAATTAAAATATAGTACAATACAACTTACAACTAACTGAAGCGCTTTTAGCCTTTAATTAATTATATTGTTTATGTTGTTACGCATAAAGCTACGCAATGGGTAATCTGTGCTGTTCCCACCACGAGTATCTCAACCCGGTTTTTAGTGGTGTGAGCCCGCAGACTTATCTTATATCTGTTAGAAGTGCATTAATTGGTTGTTATATCTCTATGAGGAAATATCTCTATTAAAATATACCTTATAAATTTTCATTTTGACCATAATATGGTGTTTTTTAAAATAACATTCTGTAATGAAACAGTTGGCTTTAATGTGATTGGATAAGTTACGTCCACCCGGGTGGCTTGGGCGCTCGACTTGCAACCCCGTCACACAGAACGTGCTCGCCTTTTCAGCCGTGGAGGCGACATTATGTGCAGTCAATTCCCTATTTAAGTAGCCTAAGAGTTGATGGTTGGTGGTGTTGACCAGCTGCCTTCCCTCTAGTCTATCACTGCTAAATTAGGGATGGCTAGCGTAGAGACCCACATGTGGCTTTACGTGTAATTCAAAACAAACCAAACCAAAACGTACCCAGCTGAGACATCGGTAAGTTTATAGACTTACAATGCTAAACCCGTGGATCAATTGCTCGTGATGGACACAGCAAATAGCTCAATTGGGAGTTGCTCTAAAACAAACAAACAAAAGATAAGTTCCTCCTTATATCAAAATTACGAACATAATTATCTACTGTATCATTGAGATATAAAGAATTTTTAAAATCTGAGCACTTAACAATTTTTTTACACAATATAATTTAATGAACATAAATTTTAGTGTTTATGCCATACCCTTAACATACTATTTTCAGCTTAATGTTATTATAAATTTGTAAGCCTAAATATTTAAAAGCATCCGTTATTTCAATTTGATAAATATTTACAATTGTTATTATTTTTACGTACATTATTATGAATATACAATTCAAAATTATTTTTATTTATAATCATCTTATTTTAATTCAGATTTATTGATTGTAAGTCATTTTTATTTTCAGTCACATTGGGTTATTTGTTGTGTCCACTGCAGGAATCGAACTCAGATTTTAAGGGTTTTAAGTCGGCATACTTACTTCTGTCCCACCGGGAGATCTACTACAATTACAGATCTAAATGTTAATACTGTATCATCAAGAAACATAGTAATTTTATGATTTAAATATAAATCACATAAACTATTTGTGTATATTATAAGAAATGGGTCCAAGTACAGAGCCTTTTGGGCAACATACTTTATCACACTTATTACTAAAGTTATTTTTAATTTTACAATTCGTGTTCGTTTATATAAATAAGAGTTAAAACATTTTAAAACAATGCCTCTTATCGCTATAATTTCTATTTTATCTAATAATATTTGATGAGATACTATTTTCGTACGTAAATGCTATATTATTGAGTTAAAGATCTGACAGATTATTAGAGTATAGTCAAATAACACTGAATCACCCTTCAAAACAAACAATAGTGCTGCACTTGCAAATAAAACAATTTATAATCTTTATTTCGCAAAGAGTTATTTAAACAAAACACTTTTAAATGCGCGTGTCTTGCTTCTTTGACCATATATTTGTAGATACCTGTGTGTTTTATATTGTTTAATGAATTGTTGGTTGTGTTTCGTTTTTTTTTTAGCTACAGTACCTCCCAAACTTTCCGCTGCTGTCACCACAAGAGAATTTTACCGTTATTTGAAGATTATAATTCCGATTGTGTGTACCACAGTAGTGTTGATGTTACTCGTTACAGTCGCCTGTGTTTTTTTGATTCGCCGAAGACATGAAAACTCCAATAGTCGCACTTACTCACCAGGTATTATATATGTCTCTACCGGGTGATTCTTGAGTCCATTAAAAAAATCAAAAATAAGGATGTATAGTTAAATCATTTTAAGCCGTATGGAATCAGGTGCTGCAGTCCTAACCTTTGATAATATCATCGAGGACATTCAAGGTGAACTTCAAAGTCACGTCCTTCGAACTTAATATACACATCATACACTAGAAATATCAATTGTGAAGGTGAAAAAAAGCAACAAATTATACATTTTATAACGAAAATTACAAAAGTTGCAAACGATGATTATAGACATAAAATGAGACGAGATAAGTATACGTACACTTCATGAAATCAATCAATATTCATAGAGCTGCCCAAGTGTGACAAACGAGAATATGGTAACTTCATTGTCAATATTGGTTGTTGTTCTTAGTCTGCCCATATGACGTCTATGATTAAATGAGCCTTTAGTACGTAACGACTGAAACACATTTCATATCATCTGATGACATTCATCTTGGAACCGTTCAGCATACAACCTGGCAGAATTCTGGTGACACTTTCCATGCACTAAACCCAAGTTAACCTGTTCTTCACCTGTGTCATTATTTAGGTGGTTTGGGAACAGTTGTAGCACAATTATTGTGAGCAACCTGACTATGAGAAATGCTGATTACATTTCAAGCCTAGGTTTGTGTTAGAGCTTTTGTTATGTTCGGATTTCGAATTTCTCCATATGTGTGTAAGAGATGCATTTATACTTAATAACTGTTGTTCTTAGAAGCGATTTGGAATTTTTAGCATTGACATTTTCAGTGTATGATTCATATTAATAAAATTTCCGAAGGATGTTACCTTGAATGGCCTCAATGGTATCGTCAAAAGGTAGGTTACAACATCACATTCCACACCTCTACTATTAATTACATAGGCCTGCGATGGTTTTATTGTCTTGATATTTTTACATGTTCTTCAGTACACTGAATCCGAAAATGATATCCATTTTTCTACATCACGTACAGAATTTCACAAAACGTCATTACGTAATACACAAAAGAAAGACCTCAACACGTAGTTTTGAGACTCAGAAACGTAGATTTCACAAATAAATTTGGATGAATGGGGATGCATATTCGATGTATATCAGTGTTCTTCCCCTTTCTCCAGTTTGTTTGTATTTTTGTTGACAAACATGATGATAAAAATGTTCAGTAGTAAACCAAATAATAATTTGACTTAAGTAAGAGTTTTTCCTTCCCGATTTGTAAAAAAAATCTTCCGCGATAGAAAGAAATTAATATTACTTTCGAAATATGCAAAGCTGAATTATGGAAAATCCGTTATTAAAACCAAAAAAGCTTTTAAGAAGTTTAAATTCGCAGGCCTATGTTATTTCCCTATATTTATCCATTTCAATATTACTTGCCTGTCAATAGACTTTTGAATCACTCTGTATAATGCATTTAAAACATATTATAGTATCAGCCCAAATTAGTGAAAAAACACGTAGATATGATCAGAAATGTTTCGTAAGTCACTTGAAATAAAAAGCTAACAAACTCTAGCGCTATCGACAGATGGATCTGTCTTCTTCGTGGGTAAAGAAGTATAGTATCAGTATAACTCTAGCGTACATTTTAAAAGCTATATTTATACTTGCAAGCTAAAACTTAAAAATAGGTCACTATAAAATAACATTTTTTCTACTTGGTAGTCATTTTATATTTATCTTGAATATTAAAATTTTCAGTTTATATGTCAATAATGAAGAAGTGTTTTTTATGCATATTAGTTATATTTTTTGTTTGATTTTGGAG